ACCAAATTTGTGTATTATTTCATCTAAAACATGTATTGTTTACCAATTGCATTTCTTTAAACCCACAGCTCGAATCCAGAAGTTTCTCCTTTTAGATTGCATCTGATTCCAAATATTGATTACTTTTCACTGTAACTATTCATTATCCTATTTTGATTCCGATTTATGATTATATGAATTTTACTGGTTCACAGGATCAAATTTTGATATTTTTACAACAACCTAATTTTTTGTTTCAGGTTACTACCATCGAATTCACATACAAATGTAGGTAAACTATCTCTCTCTCTCTCTCTCTCTCTCTTGATTCCTCTCTTTTTATTGTTTAGAAAATTGCAATAGGAGATTCACACGGAGTGGTCTCAGTGGGGAGGCTGTAATGGGTTACGATTTTTAGTGGTGGAGGATAGTGGTTGGTGGTGATTAAGACGGGATGTGTTGGTAGCCGTATAAGGTGGTTTTGGTGGTAGGTATCATGGCAATAACCATGGCACCACCACTCTTCCGAAACAAGCCATAATTCCTAGTTTAGAGAATAAATGAACCAGATATGTGTTTCCTTTTAATTTTCCTCTCTTCATTTTTTATTTTGATTTTAAGCACTATCTGGTATATATCATTTTTATTGACCTTTTTCTCACGGGTTTGGTGCCTTAAACTTGATATTTTGCTCATGAAGAACTCTGATAATGTAAATGTTTGTGACCTTTGTTTTACAAGTTTGCCATCCACCCATTTCTCATACATTAAGAACATAAAGGAAAGGCTTGTTCTATTTCTGTTCAGTTACAATGATAGAAAGCTTCATGGAGTATTTGAAGCTACAATTCTTGGTTCAATGAACATCAATAGGTATGCCTGGGTTGCTGATACAGAGGATTGTGGATACACACATTATCCAGCACAGGTATCATTTTCCCTTTTGTGTGAATGACTCAACACATAGTGTCTGAATACATACATACTGATACTTAACTTATGTGATTGTATTTCAGGTCCGTGTTCGTGTAAGACATGGTTGACTTGATTATCTCGGCGATCTGTTTCTACACGATCGTCTTATGTTTGCTTGGTGAACAGGTGAACTGTAGTTATTTTTCCTTTGAATTAAGATTTAAGACTTCTTTTTTTATATAGGCCTATTACATGCCCAAATCTGATGGGTCGGGAGTCAGGACACGATTCTTGTTTTGAAAAACTCATTTATGATGATTAAATTACTTAATTTCTCAAAAAATAAACTTATTTAGTTCATGGCTAAATTTATATTTTTGTTTTGATTATAATTACTTGTAAAGTTTGCAATTTATGCTCATTTATGTAAAATACACATGCTAAATGTTTGGAAATTTGAAACTAATGATATTGATGATGTTTTTGAAGGTTTATTTTTTTGTGAAAGAGAAAAGAGAGAAATATGGCAAAGTGAAAAGACGACAGGGACGGTATATTTTTCCTTTGGATCTTTGAAACTTGCATGTATATTTTTCTTAGTTTCTTAAATCCTCTTTCAAAAATAGACAATTTAACAAAATATAAAATCAATGTAGGAGAATAAGGTAAAAATAAAATTGAAAAAAGTCTACATTGCCTAATTAATTATGATATTTGGTTGTTAAAAAAACTACATTTCCTTTATACCATTGGTTATTTTATTTTATGTTCTTACGGTTGTACATTTTTAATTTGGATGTCAAAAGTTAGTAACTTAGTTTCAAAATAAGAATAAGAAATGCATTAGGGAATCATTATCACCGCATTGATTTTATCCATGAAAGGGTTGTTTTTTGGTTTTATATATGAAAGTGACTTTACCTTTTGTTTTAGTTAAGAAAGTCCATTGAGAATGTTTATCATTATTGATTTATTTTGTTGTTTAATGTTAAACCTTGGTATACAGATCTGGTGGTGGGAAATGGTGGGGTTGAGCATACAAAGAAAAGAAATTGCAAGGAGGTGGCATATCATTGATGATCCATGGTAACTTACGCTCTTTTTGTTGTTTTCCTTTGACCGTTTGGATTATACATTGGTTTATAATAAGTTGATTTTCAAGTTATCAGGGAAGTTGATTGGAAACCTTGGAGTGGGAACCCAGCAACATGGTGATATAAGTTTTATGTTTTAAAAACTAATATGCTCTTTGGCTTATTTATACCCATTTTTGCTTGATGGTTTAAATAAGTGGGACAACAAATTGGGTGATGGTGACTTTGGATCAACAGTAAGTCTAATGCATATTCAAATTTACATTTCATCTAAATCTAATTAATTATACAATTTATAATTTACAGATGTCTAGAGGCGCAAAAACTATTCAACGAGACTTGAAGAAGTAGTATGTTATTTTCTTTGACTATTCATACATCTCTAATCCCCATCCCCATTATGTGCATACATTATTGAATTAATATTTCTTCATTTCTTTTCTGTTTTTTAGCTATCCCCTGAATGATGCTGCAGAAACCATTAATGAGATAGGAGTTATCTGAAGAGTCATATAAGGAACAAATGGAATCCTGTATGTATTATTACTCAATTTTCTTTGTAATTATTAATGTTTTTTTTTTGTGAGTTAATCATTTACAAGTCTGTCTTACCTATGTTTTTGATTGTTGAAAAGGATAAGACATACTTTGCAAAGAAATGTATATTGAACAACCAATTAGACATTACCACTACACCATTCTGATCATACATTACTACTACACCCTTACAAGATGTACATATATTTGTTTCACTTGTTTTTGATGTTCTCTACTAAAGTATTGCACTTTCAAATAACCAATGGATAAAATGTGGGAATGAAAAGAAATTCAATATGAAAATCAGACACTTGATCTTGGATTTGTTTTGTAGGTTGAAATCGACTTACTTCGTCTGTTGTACTTATTGGATCTGTTATAAGCTTGGTTTTAGCTCTATTGTTTCAAAACAAATACAATCATACATCAGTATATCCAATTTTTCTTTATTACAAGTGGTTACAAAAGATGTTTTCATATTGAAGTATATTATATAAATTGATTAAAAAACAATTTTATTAGTCTAAAATATTATTAAAAAATATGCTTGAAACATTTTTTTGTAAATGTTTATTATAAAAAAAATTATATATTCACCGACAATGTTTTTTTATTAGTATGTATCACAATAGTTGTTGGAATGTTGTATTTTAGATTTTATAATAGAAACACAGTTTTTTATTAGTATTTAAAACAATTAGAATATCTACTAAAAAAATGAATACTTAGAACCACATTTTTAAACTATTATAAGTTCCTATACGACACAAATTTCTCACCAACGTTAATATGAATGTATCATTATTTATGTATATTGAATGTTATAAGTTGTTGCGACCGTTAAATGGATCTCTTTAATATTATTATCTTAATCCACACTTTAAAATTGAAATATGGTCATAGACAAAAGAAAAATAATCCAATTATTTAACTTATTATTAGATGTAGAGATCATAATTCTTTGAAGCTAAGCTGATCGCATTTCCAAAATCTGCAAGTTAGTTCGTGTCGATGCACTAAGATTATAAAAGGAAGGGCTATCAAAATACCTTGCTCACTAAAATTTATATCCTTATTTATTACAAGGTTACAACTATTATTTTAACATTGCTGAGCTCAGTCTGTTAAAGTTAACACCTTAGTTGTTATATTTTTGAAAATGAAAATTTTGTCGAACCCCACCCATTAGGCAGTTAAAAATAACAACAGTTATCACTAAACCATTTATGGATTTCTTTTATGGCATGGTGGTGTCAAAGAAGAAATGTACAATGAATATCACCTAATGGTTTAATAACAATATAATGATGCAAAAGAAGAAGATAATGACTAACATCCCAAATTTCAACCGTTAACGTTGTTGATTTTATTTAAGTCGCTAAAGGGATGATGTGTGGATAACTATTATGATTCAAATCAGTATATAAATTTATTCTATGACCAATAATTATTGTAGTTTGATTGTTTGGATGATTTATTTTCTTTTTCTAATCGTGTAAGTTTATACATTTGAAGTAACTGCGTCAAGAAAAAAAATTGAAAAAATTATTCGCACCCGTCGCTTGGCGCGGGTAAACAGCTAGTATGAATTTTATATAAATAACTCCTGAGAAATATATACCTATACTTCCAATGGTTTTGTGGATAAGTTAGTTGTCTTCTTACTTCAAAGTCCTGGTTCAAATCCTACTTTTATATTTCATCTATTTTTAATTTTCAGTACACATTATGTAATATGGTGACCCTTACTTCTTCGATTCATGCCTTGGATCAACCCGTAAGACTCCATATATTTGAGCAAGATGTTACGCGTTCCAAACCCATTCAACCCTATGCTCTTTAAAAAAAATAACAGCCGCATGCCACGTTAGGTTTCTAAGACTAAGCGGAGGGGCACTCGCCACTTGCCTCGCCCGCCTCGCTATAGCACCCCTACCCCTCGCCAGGGGGTTGCCACCAGAGAAGCGCTAAAGTTTTGGCGAGAAGAGAGATGATGAGGAACAAATTTAATTGGTGGGATTAGGGCGCATGAAGGGGATTCGCTTTGCGTCATAATCAGTCCTTATCTTTTCTAAGCGTTTATTTTCGCTGAGTACCCAAAGATTCGATAAACGTGAAAACCCTAGTTTTTGATTCGTCCGATGGGATTAGGGCACATAAAGGGGATTCATGCTCAAATGTTAGTTTTGTTATTTAAGTTATTGAACACGTATTGTTTCACTGGATTGGATTCATTGAGTCTTAAATTGCATATGTTTTAAGATGTTTCAGTATTTGGTGATTTTAGTTGGCTTAATCGAGGAGGTACCTTTTTTTTTTGAACCGGCCAATAATATATATTAATAAATAGGGAAAATAAACAAGCCACAATTAGTGGCATACAAGAGACAAGCATAAACAGAAAGAGAAAAAATAAGATGACAAAACTGAAAATTTGATGATTCAAAAAGACAGAGGGCATTGAGACCGTGTTGCCTAATTAATCTTATCAAGTTTTCCCCTGTTTTTCACCCATAGATAAGTCACTGATTTTATTGTATCATTGACTTTGTCGGGAGGTATCCGGTTCTTCTTGAAAACTCTTTCGTTCCTTGATTTCCAAATGCTCCATAATGCTCCATAGTAAACTGCCAAAAGAATCTTGCTCCTCCTGTTATGACACATCCCCCGCTGAGAAACTGAGTCCACGACATCCTTAACCGTATGAAAATCCTCCGTATTCACACTACACCATCTTGATAAGCCTTCAAAAACCTTCCTGACATAAGGGCAGTCAACCAAAACGTGATCTGCGCATTCTTCGTATTCATTACACATGGGACAGGTCAAGTTTTCCAGAACTACCCCTCTTTTTGAAAGTTCCAATGCGACTGGAATCCTCCCCCTTTTTGCCCGCCATATAAAACAATTGACCTTCAGTGGGATTTCATTAAGCCAAAAGAACTTTCCATCGATATTATGAGGTCGGTAATCCCATCTATGTCTAAGAGCGCAGACTGTGTATATTCCATTCGAGGAAAGCTCACACCTCCAGGTTACACCGTTGGCTGTAGGTTGTTTAGATAACACAGATGGAACAGATATATCTTTGTTTACAAGATCTTTCCTTATTCCAGCAATGTAATTCCACACTCCTGTTAATGATTTTTTCAAATAAACATCATCAGGTTTCGACTTGAGGTTATGTAGGCTTGAGATGACTTCCGCCCAAAGATGGTGAGGTTCGGTTCTCAACTTCCATCACCATTTCATTATCAAAGAGATATTAAGAGCTTTAATCATACCATTACCCAAACCACCCGATTCCTTGGGTGCGACTACCGTGTCCCATAAGATCCAATGAATTGTCTTCTTTTCTTCCGATGCACCCCATAGAAACCTGTTCCTCATTTTCTCAAGGGTTTGGATCACACCCGCAAGCGCTACAAAAAGTGACAGGAAGTATGTTGGGACGTTGCCAAGGACTGATTGAATAAGAGTCAGTCTACCACCAAAGGAGAGGGTTTTTGACTTCCATTTTGAAAGTTTGACTTGAAATCTTTCTATGATTGGTTTCCAATTCTTCTTTAAATTCATGTTGGCACCAACCGGAACTCCTAGGTATGTGAAAGGGAGGGAGGACGGTGCGCATCCGAGAGTACTGGCCCAGTTTGAGACTTCTTGCATTTCCACCCCAACTCCAAAAACTTTGGATTTATTGAAATTAACTTTTAGTCCTGATGCCGCATGAAAGAAGTGGAGAATTCGAGCTAGGTTATTGATGTTTTTCCTTTACCAGTCCCCCAGAAATAATGCATCATCTGCGTATAGTAGATGTGAGATCAAAGGGCCACCATTTGGTAATTTAACACCTTGGAAGATGCCTAGTTTACACGTTGACCGCATCGCAACACTAAGGCCCTCCATGGCTGCTATAAAAAGGAACGGGGAGAGCGGGTCACCCTGCCTGACTCCTTTGGATAATGGGAATTCCTCTGTCGGATTTCCGTTGACTAAGACAGAAGATCTTGCAGATCCAAGGCATCCTCTTAACCACATCCTCAATTTACTCCGAAATCCCATATGCATCAGGTTCGTATCAAGGAAATCCCAATTTACTGGGTCAAAAGCCTTCTCAAAGTCCACCTTGAAAAGAAGAATTTTCCTTTTGGTATTTTTTGCCCACAAATAGATCTCGTTGACCACCAGGGGCCCATCAAGTATATTCATCCCTTCAATGTATGCTGATTGCACCACATCGATGCAGTTTCCCATCACTTTCTTCATTCTGAGCGAAATAATCTTAGAGATGATTTTATAGATGCATCCAATGAGACTGATTGGTCGATAGTTGTTGAGTCTAATTGTGTTGCGTCTTGGGCTTTATGTTTTGTATCCGGATTGGGCTTGTCCATCCGTGTTTATCTGATAGGGTTATACTATAAATATGCATGCATGTATGCATTAGACGGTGTTGATAATTACGTTTATTGTTTTGTAACCCTAAACACCTATACAGTTGAAGTTCTTAATCGAGCTCTTCTGAGGTGTTGAAGTATTAATCATTCGACATATTCAAATCCATTCTTGTGTTCTTGATTACGTTCTTAATTGTTTGCTTGCATAGAATCTAACGATCCTAATAGAACATTGTTCTAACAATTGGTATCAGAGCAGGAGACTGTGTGATCAATATACATTCCTTCTGTATTCAGAATTCTTTAGGGTTTCCGCTTTTATCGTATAAATAGAAGCCGTCTTCTTCGTATCGACGGCAACTCTGTTTCAGATAAAACCCTAATCTCAAGTTTACAGGTTTGATTCTAGCAGCTCACCATGTCTCACGAAGATTCGCAAACAAATCCCATCAACATCTCAAACAGCATTGGATCAACAACCAGGATACCCATACTCTACACTCAAGACTATGAAGTATGGGCGCATCACTTTGAAGACTACGTGATTGGATCTGAAGATAATGACTATCTCATCTGGGAAGCTATCACACTTGGGCCGTTTGTTCATTCAGGAACGAACACGACAGTTAAGTCCCAAAAGGAATATAACAAGCTTTGTGTCGGATGTAGAGAAGATGCCGCAGGATGAGAAAGACAAGTTGCTGTGTAACGTGAAGGCCATGAGAATGATCAGATTCGCCTTGAAATCTGACACTTTTCGATTGGTTGGATCATGCACGACGGCCAAAGAAATCTGGGATAGGTTGAACGAACTTTATTCAACTGATGAAGATCTGGAACACTCCATTCAAACCTTGCTGCTGTCAGAATTTGGAGTTTTCAAACAGAAACCAGAAGAAAAACTCATACGAACTTTCGATCGGTTCAATCATCTTCTAAGTAAGATGATCAAGCATGGAATAGAAAGAAAGTTGATCGAGCAGAAGGTGACCTTCATGAACGGTCTGAGACCAGAATGGATGGCTGTGGTTTCAACCGTGAAAGCCCATGAACAGTTTAAATCTTACTCACTGGCGAAACTTGTGGGAATACTTAAGTCCCATGAAAGTGTAGTAACCAAAGAAGCGAAAGTAGTTTCTGGTGTGGGATCGCTGGCCCTTGTCTCAAAAGCAAAAAGCATTGCAGAAGAAGAAAAAAGAGTCTGATATGTCTGAGTGTGACCTTACAAGCGAGGAGTATGCTATGATGGTCACCAATCCAAAGAAGTTTGCAAGAAGAAAATTTCCTGTCAACAAGAACCGAAACTGGCAGGGAAGTTACAGTTCTGAGAAGGTGAAGGACGAAGCGAAAGTCTCTTCTCAAAAGGATGAAGACAAGAAGGAGAGCAAACTTGCAGGAGACTCTGGGTTCGACTGCAACTACTGTCACGGCAAGAACCACTTTGCCAAAGACTGCATGCTAAGGAAAATGGCTGAGAAAAGAGATGGTGAAGATGATGAGACGTACTACATGCGCAAGTTGGAAGAGATCAAGAAAAAGAAGGCAACTAACAGCTCTATGAATGCCTTGATTGTACAGGAGAATGCAGGTGAAGATGAGTTCGGTGGCATCGAAGTTTGGTCAACCGATTCTGAAGATGAAGAGGTGAGAAAGCCCACTCATGGAAAGGCTTATGTGGCAAAGGAAGTAGGTTCGGCTGGAAGGTGTTTAATTGTCACAGCTGGTTCATCAACCGAAAGTGCAAGTGAGGAACCGAACCTGACTGAGGACAAGTGTTTTGCGGCCAAGCCTGTGAGTGAGAAGATCAACGACTGCGATCGGTTGATCAAAAAGGTACAATCCATCCTTGAATCACTTAAAGTTCCAATAACAGATTACGAAGAAGAATTAAATGAATTAAAATTTAAATTTTCTAACTTAAGTGGTAGTCTCATGCAAACTCGCTTAGCGAATTCTAACCTAACTGACCAACTCAGCAGGGTGTCTTCAAAAAGTGAGGAGAGAAGGATGTGGATTGAGCTGAAGGAGGCGGAGTTAATTAGGGCTAGGGATGAAAGTATTTATTTACAAAGAGACAATTTAAAGTTTTTAAAACAAAGGAATGTTTTTTGTTTAATTGCTAAGCGTTTATACTTTAATATTGCTCAATTGCATTTAAGTTGTGAGATAGGAAAGAAGATTCATAAGATGATGTTACCCTTCCTTGAATTTAAGGAGGATGAGGTCATAGCAGAATGTGAATCAGTAGTGTCCTCAGAAGAAACGTCAATTCATTACAAAATCGGACTGGACAAGATAGAAACCTTCATTGACTCTAAGGAACATAAATGTATGCTCAAATATCTTTTAGATGAAAATGATAGGTTAAAAATAAAGTCCGAAACTATTAAATCATTTGACTCGTCTAACACAAAATTGATTTCAGAAAATAAAATGAACTTAGAAAATACGTCTGAATTTGATGAGGAAAGTGAGATGAGCGAAATCTCAGTGGAAGATGTAGTTGATTGCTCAGAGTTTATGAAAAGCGAAACCAAGAATGAGAAACCCCTCATTTCTGAAAATTCGGTTGAGTTCGCTCGCTTGTCAAAAGACAAGACAAAGAAACTCAAGGAAAAAGCTATGGTCTACCAAAAGGTTCAAACGGTGCCGAATCAGGTGTATGCAGTTACAGGAATCACTGCTAAACAAACAGCAGAATTACAAATCCTGGTCGACAAAGACAATGCTGAAGGATGCGACGATTACTTCTGGTCTGCCCCTATCGACAACGCAGACGAAACCGTAGGCTTATCTGAGCAAACTTCATGGAGGGTTAAAGGAAGATATGTTGCTGAACCCATCAACAAACCCTCAAGTTTCGACAAACCAAGCACAAGTGGAACCAAAGAAATCCCTGAAGAACCGATGACAGAACCAACTGTTCCAACAAATACAACCGAAATTAAAAAGAGAAGCCAAAGGCTAGCTTCAATATCCACAAATCACAGAAGGAGTTAGCTGAACAGAAACGCTTAAGAAATCAAAGATACGCAAGGAATCTGAATGAGCGAAAACGTCACTGGGAATCCCAAAATCCCAACTACGTACCTCCTAAGAAAGAATCAACGGATAGAGGAAAGGAAAAACTGAAAGGAAAAGAAAACTTCAGCCCAAATTCCTACTATTCCAAATCTCAGAACCGAAAGTCTACTTTCGGTTCCCAAACTAGCGTACCGAACCGAAAGACAAGTTTCGGTCCCCACATGGACTCACAGAACCGAAAGACAAGTTTCGGTCCAACCGCCAAGGCTAACAACCAAAAGCCTACTTTCGGTCCCAACAACAGCACTCAGAACCGAAAGTCGAGTCTCGGTCCTAAGTCTAGTTTCGGTCCTTCTAACTCCCAAAGAAAATTAACTTCAATGAAGGATATCAAAG